AGTTGTTGAATAATAACATATTTTAGTTCTCTTCCCAACCTTTAAAAATTCTTTGCTTCCATGTCTCTGAAAATAGTAATAAAAGAGGGGAAAAATAGCTATCCTTCAAGAAATAGTTAGTTTTTTCTTTTCTTGACAGTTATCCAAGTGATGTCATTCAATTTCCATATGGAATGCTTAAACATGTATCAACAGATGGGACCAGCAATTTGAAAACTGCCTGAGTCACTAAAACATGATGGTTTATTGGTTGTTTAAATAATTTGTGGTGATTTATTATGAGCCCACCACTTTATAGCCCAGCCATATTTTGTTTTTCTCTTGCTCTGCACTGTTTCAAACACTATTCCAGTAGCAATCATCCTTGAAGTGGATACACTAGTGAGAAAATGCAATGGAAAAATTCTTGACAAGGTCTTTCACTCTGTGATCTTTGACATGTTCTACCTAATATTTCTTAGCCATGTCCACTTCTTTCGGATTACTTTTTCTATATCAAAGGCATCTGTTGATGGAGGAAAATACAGAAAAAAAAATACCAAGGTTTCTGGCAGTCTTAACAGAGATTTGTTTCAAAGCCAGTGTCTTTCATCAACATCGGAAAATAGATTTGTTTCCTCATGTAAGCATTATATTTCTACTCTGCAAAATGGAACATGTAGGCAGAGGAAGATAAGAGTAGCTGCCTTTGGCAGAGGAGATAGGTTTGAACTATGAATATTAGCTAAGAGGCCACACAAGTAAGGTGAACGCCAAGCTTCTGGAACAATTTGTGTTACAAACAATTGAGCTGCTAAAAAGTGAAGGTGCAGTGTCCAAAATTTTGTGTAATTCTGTATTTCAAAAATAAATAAAACCAAAACATACATAAAAAATTAAAAAAAAAAAAACTTGGCAACTGCAGTTTTTCTGGAAGATTCCAATCAACATAATTTTTAATGCTCAAATTTTAAAAATATGCCCCAAACCCTTGAAATCTAAAGAACTAAATACTCTTAATTTCTAATAATTATTTGTATACTATTCTGCTAATATGAAAAATCATGTCAGGGACAATTGTCTAAGTCATTCATTTTATTAAACCTACCTCAAGAGTTAAATTTACAAGGACTACATTTTCATTTTTTGGTAACATTTTCCACCACATGTGAGCATCATTGCAACAATTTATGTAAAGCAAAAACAAATTACTTTCTAAGTAATCATCAAACAGCAAATACTGGAAAACATTATTTTTTATTTCTTGATGCAAATAATTTTCCTAAAAACATTTTAAGTATAATTTGTAAACATCTAAAACTACATATGGTAGGAGGTGAGAGGAAGTTAGGAGGAAGAGGATGGGAGAGGAGGGCATGAGGGAGCAGGAAGATTGAGTCAGTGAACGAATAGAGGAGAGCAAGAAAAGAGATATCATAATAGAGGGATTTATTAGGGGTTTAAAGAGAAATCTGGCACTAGTGAAATGTCTAGAGATCTACAAGAATGACTCCCATTAACAATCTAAGCAATAGTGGAGAGGCTACCTTAAATGCCCTTCCCCAATAATGACTACCTCATATGCCATCCTAGAGCCCTCATCCAGTAGCTGATGGAAGCAGAAGCAGACACCCACAGCTAAACACTGAGTTGAACTCCTGGAATTCAGTTGCAGGGAGGTAGGAATGATGAGCAAGGGGATCAAGGCCAGGCTGGAGAAACCCACAGAAACTGCTGACCTGAACAAGGGGTTAACAGTCCAAAATGGGCATCTCATTTTCTAAAGCTGAAATAGTTTTTTCATGATGTTGGTTTTACTGTGTGTTGCTTCACACGAACTTGTAGGCTGTAAATGATAAGTCCTTATCAATATTCGAAGCTAACAACAATAGCAGCAAAAGCAAAGCATGCTTACAAGATCCCATATTCCAAGTTTGTAGTCCTGGGACTTCAGATGATTTACTGATTACTGATAATTCACTCCTGATAAGCTTGTGCCAGCCAATCACCTACAGCTTAAAGAATGAAGAAATAAATCATCACTAACTCGTGCCTTCCAATAATGCAAAAATAGTAGCTAGTAGCTATTTAGAAGTTGTTCAGAATAATTTACTTTTCTTGCTAATGTTGACAAAATCTATTCCTTCAACTTGAAAAATATTAATTTAATATTTGATTAGTCTTAAATCCCTTTGTTCACAAATCTATTTTGTACCTGGGTAAATTGCTCTTTGTTTTTGTTATAATATTGCTTATGATTTCTTGGTTGAGATAAATCAATCTAGAGACTTCAATCCTTTTTTTCTTTTGAAGCTCAGAAAAGGGATTATAAGAATGATGTAATAAGAATAACGGTCATGTTTTTGTGCAAAGTCTTTGGGGTGGTATAATAATCTAGATGAGTCATGAAAGTGATATGGCTAAGAGCACTATCAGGAGTTGGGAAGAGAGGTCTGCTAGTGTTAGTTAGGATTGACCCATTTGAGGGCACTGAATGTAAGATGTGAGGAGAAAAGGAGGCAAAGCACACAATAAGATTTCTCACGAATAACTTACAAAGATGGGAGTGCCATTGTCTTTGATGGCAAAGAGGGAGGGGGAGGTCAAGAGCTAATTTTGGTCATGTGACATCTAAGAATGAGTTCTATTGACTGAGAAACAGTGCTCAGAGCAAGGGCCTATGGATGAGGGGTTTGCAATAACCAGAATAACAAACTCTTGCCAAGTTTGGGACCTCTCTTATGAGGATGGTTTTTTATTAACAATGCTCTTCAGTCTGGGGAATTCCAATGAGGGCTGGTTCCATAAAGTAGCAAAAAGATGCCCAGGTTATTAAAATAATATTCACTCCAGCCTTACAGGTGAATAGGTATCAATTCTTCCATTAAAAAAGGCATGCATGTTTAACAATTTTGGTTTCTCTAATGTTGTCTGTTAGAGCAGGAAAGACTGAACTCAACTGAACATCCCTCATCATCAAATGAAGCCTCCAGTTCTGGAAACGGGTTACATCTAATCAAGTGTTGGCCAAAGACATCCCATGGGAATCCCCAAACAACCCAGTCTATTGTCAAGGCTATCGGTTGCTCTTCACAAACTGAAGGAAAGCACTATTGCTGAAGATAACACCCACAGAACCCATTAAACATGAGAAGTCGAGCTGGGGCCTCACTAGGAGCCTTCATCTCTACAGACTAGTTTTCATGGTACTGGAGGGTACTTTGAATACTACCTAAGAATAAAGGTAAACATTAATTCAGCTATAAACTCTTTAGTCTACAAGGATGATCTCCCTCCAAGACATGCTAGTACGATGGTGACAAAGCTCATGGGAGTAACCAACAAATAACTGGGTAGACTTAATGCTCTCTCTATGAGATGCTGCCTGGGTGGCAAAGAACCCAAGACCACACAGGTCAAATACCTAAAGGAAAACCAAATACTACCATTTTTCCTAAAGAAGCACAGCCATAAAGCAACTCCCAATGACATTCTGCTATACTCATAAATCAGTGCCTTACTCAGGTATCACCAGAGAAGCTTCCTCCTACAGCAGATGGTACACAGCTAAACAATGTGCACAGTATGCTTGATCTTGGAACACTCAGTCCCATAACGGATGTCTCCATCAAATCCTTCTCTTGCCAGGAAATCCCAAGGAAAAGGAAGCAGAAACGCTACAATTCAGAGAGGATGGAGGACAGCAAGGAAACAAGGCTTTCGACACACACATATGAAGACACAGAGACTGTGGTGGCATGCACAGAGCCAGCATGGATGCATCAGATGGAGCTCCAGCACCGAGAGAAGTGCTCACTATTCCCCATCCCTAACCAGAAGCTGTTTGCAAAGGGCAATCACTTGGAAATGAAGACAAAATTGGTTTTCTCTAAACAGTATTACAATGAGGATACCAACCACTATCCAGCAGTAGACGACCAACACAAGAACTCAGTGGTATTTTTAGAGATTCTTTGTCTCATAATATTTAATCAGGGTATTTCAAAAAAAGAAAAAGGAAGCTTTCTGGTTCATAGCTTCTATTATGGCTTCCACTTCTGTGTGTTGGAATATGTGTATCTCTGCATCTATATGCCTTGTGTGTGTGTGTGTGTGTGTGTGTGTGTGTGTGTGTGTGTGTGTGCGCGCGCGCGCGTGTGTGTGTGCTTTTCTTTGGCTCTTTTTCTTCTGTTTGTTTAATTGCCTTCTGATTCTTTTTTATTTTATTACTATTCTTTAGATTCCTGTTTGTTTTCCCAGGAGAGACAGAAAGAGGGTAGGTTTGAGTAGGTGGATAAGGGGTGGGGAGCATTTTGGAGGAGTTGGGGGAGGGGGAATTGTAACTAGAATATATATTAAAATACATTTTCAATAAAGGAAAAAAATAAAAAAAATTTGAAAGTTATAGGGACGTTAAGGAAGGAGCCTCAAGGGGCTGACATTTATGAAGAAAAACGTGATGTGATAAAACAAAAACAATCTCGTGTGAAACCAAATGCTATTATGTAAAAGTGTAAGTTACTTGCTGTTTCATATCGGAAAATCAGGCCTTATGACGAGTAAGGCATCGGATCTTACGGAACCCTGAGAAAACACAAACTTCTTTCATTTACTTTCCAGTCCGTTAGAATCCAGTTGCTAAACCGAGAGCTGGAATAGCACATGACGCTCTGGTGGGACACACCGACTAACGTCCCAATTCCCCACCCTTCCTCTGAAGCCTAGAGTGGAACTCCAGCTCGGCGGAGAATCCCGACAGCCAGAAAGCAGAGCAAGCGGGAGCCCCGGGCGCGCGGGACACACCCTTTGCCTGCCGGGGTTCCCCGGAGCCGGCGCTTCCGGGTGTGGGCGGGGCTTGCCGGCGACGTCACTGCCGTGCGCCAGCGCTCCGAGTGGCGGCGGATTCAAACCGAGGGCGGGCCGGGGCATCCGGAGAGTCGCGGTGGCGTGTTCCCCGACTGAGGCTCAGCGCTCAGCCCCTCGGCAGGTGAGCCGTCAGCGGCCGCGGGAGCCCGGGCTGCGGCGAGTGCGCGCCCATGGCGGTCCCCACCGTCGTCTCGAAGCGCATCAAGCGCAAGGCGCCGCGCGCCTTCCTCAGGCGAACCTTCAGGCAGAAGAAGCCGCACCTTCGCCTGGAGACCGCCGGCGACCTCCTGGTGAGTCCCGCTCGGCTCTCCTGGCCGGCCAGGCCTGCGTCTCTCTCTTCAGGTCCGGTAGCTATGGCGGGCGGCGCCGCGGCCTTCAGGGTGGCGGGCGACCTAGACCCCGGGCACCATGGAGGACCCCGAGCCTTCTGAGGGAAGGCTGTCAGCCCGTCAGGGCAGGGACTCCTCCAGTGGAGGCCCTGCCTCCGGGTTACTAAAGGTCTGTGATTCACAAGTGATGGTGTAGCCGGGTTCATTTTTCCTGGGAAGGTGACAGAGAACTCTTCACCCTTTTCACCCAAGACTGTTTGTCAGGCTCACACTTAGCGGAAATCAGATGCTTTCCCATAGCGACTGTATGTTTCTGCCTGGAAATGAGTTCAGTTTGCGACATTATGTCCCCAGCTAGAATCCCAGGAGCACTGCCTTTTCCTCTGTTCTCAAAACGCAGGCCTCTTTCCCAGGGGAAGGTGCACAGCTGGCGTTGTTTTCCTCTGTCTTCCCAGCTGTTGCCTTCTTGAAGAGTTTGCGTTTTCTTTGAGACGGAATGTCACTTTGGAGTGCTGGCTGGCCTAAACTTACTGTGTAGACCAGGCTGGCCCTGAAGTCAGATATTCACCTGGCTTTTCTTCACAGCGCCCGGGCTTAAAGCTGTGGGCCACCCTGGCTTTAAGATTTAGTTTTATATATGTGTATTTGTGAGGGAAGGTCATATATGTGTGTGCCTGCAGAAACCAAAAGAAGTTAGATCCCTTGTATGTTGAGTTACAGGGCCCGCTGCCTGGCAGTGGATTCTGAGAACTCAGGTATGTCAGAAGAGCAGCAACTGCTCTTAATCACTGAGCCATGTCTCCACATACTGTTTTGCTAGATTATTATAAAAATGGTCTACTTTTTCCTTTGTTGTCTCTAGAGTCAAAAATACACATGCCCCCCCCCCCCGCCTCCCAAAGTGGTGGTGAGGGGAATAATAATACTTGTCAGTTACTTTCTTTTCTCATATTCTATTAGAAAAGGCAACATCATTTCCCACCCCCTCACACCTGACTCTTGTGGTGGTTAAAGTAGCATTAAGTGAGCTAGGCTTCCCTTGGAGCACACTTTCCATAGTTTATTCTGTTTTCGGTGACTAGGAATATCCAGGAGACCACTTGCTAATGCCAAGGGTTGGCAGGCCTTTCTCAAACAGTCAGTGTCCTTCCAAAACCACTTTTTCCACCCTGGAGTGACCCTGGTTATGTGGACCCTGTGGTGGGAAGCTCTAGGTGTCAGGGGCAAGAAGCAGAGTTGAAAAGCAAGTCTGTGCAGTAGTGGGAGGAAGGAAGTTCCTTTGGCCATTTGTTCCTCCCAGGTGATATTTTCACCTTTGGTGGCTTTTGTTAAACAGTTTCTGTTTAGTCTTGTTAATTGATGCCATGTCTCTGCTTACATTTTTCTGCCCTCCTGGCATCCATAAAGTTCATTCCATTTAATCAGTTTTATTCTTTTTCCTGAGTACCATACCAGTTAGTTACTGAGATGCTAGCACTATTCCCAGTGTTGTTTCATTGTTGATGCTGTCTCCCAGAATGATGTGCAGCTTTCTGTCGTAATTGTCCCATCAGCCTGGGAATTAGAATCAGGAGCCTTTTGTCTTCTTTGTGGTTAGTGTAATGTCCTGAATCTTCTGAGTCAAGTTATTATTTGGATTACTGGATAACTCATGTAAATAGTAAAAGAAACAATTGTGAAATTCTTTTTAATTGATTGTGAGGAGTGCCTTAACATTCATGGAAGAAGCTATGGATGAGAAAGCTCTGAGTAAAAAAAAAATTCCTAACAATATTCATTCTTATTGTTTATAGCAAATATATGTTAAAAGGGTTCATACACATATTTCATTTATATGATACTTAATGATGCATATGTTTGCTTTTAAAGATTCATTTGAATTGCTTGCTCTTTGTACATCGGTTGGCAGAAGAGTCCAGGACAAATGCTTGTGAAAATAAATCTGGAGTTATCAAAAAGGATCACGTACTGACTGCAGCAAAGGTAAAACATAAATTTTCTCTCTAAGCAAGTTAACTTTAAAGCTACTGCCATGGCTATCATGTCTGTCTGATTCAAGTACTTTTAAAAGATTTTTTTATTTTGAAAAAGCTATAGCCTAAATTAGTGCAAGAAGAGGTGAATCATAGATAAAGTTAGTAAAGATTATGAGAAATGTACCAGTAAGGAAGAGTGTTGAATTTTACTTAACAACATATTCACAACATATTCAGCATTTTGTAAACTTGTTAAGCATATGATTTTATAGTAGCCATATTAATATCACTTTGCACAGAGCATTGCTAGCCTGGGTTATAGATTAACTTGTGATAACCAAGGCATTGTCTGTGCCCCACAAATATATGGGACTTTTAAATTCTTTTCAGTGAGAAACAGCACAACCATTAAAGTCTAAACAAATATTTTTCTGGGAGTAATGCAATGGTTAAGAGTGTGAAAAGTATATGTGAGTGTTTTCAATTTAGACCTTTCTTTTTTCTAATTTTTAAATTGCCTTTATTATGTGTCCATGTGTGTGCATGTCTGTGTGCATTTGTGTTTGTGTACATGTGAACATATGTGCACTTGTCACATCATACCTGTGGAGGTCACTTGTCACATCATACCTGTGGAGGTGAGGGCAACTTTTGGTTGTTGGTCTCTCCACCATGTGGGTTCAAACTCAGGTTGTTCAACTTAGCACTTAGCCTGAGGCAATTTTTCTTTTTAAATTATAGTTGCTACATTCTTGTAAACATTTATTTTTATTTGTTTTCTGGAGATAATTTAGGCCTCATCCTCACAGCATTTTTACAGCTAAATATTTCTCTTTGTCTTATTTCTGCAACATTTTATGTTTTGAAAATTGTATATGAAAGAAGTTATTCAGTGGAGATGACTAGTCTTGATCTCTAACTGATATAATTCCAGATTAATTGTGAGACTTTCACGTCGCAATGGATTTATACTACTTGATAGGTTTTGTTTTGTTTTTAGGAACTTCTTTTAATGCCTTAGATCATGGATTGGGGAAGTGGGGAACTAGTGAATGGGATTGACTGTAAAACCAGGTTTGATAGTCTATGCAGGTTTGCCTTCACTCAGAGAAGTAAACTAGAATTCTAGGCCACTTACATTGCAGCAGCGATTATGATTTATTTTCCATAGATATAATATGTATCTGCATTTCCTCTCTTACAGGTAATTCTGAAGAAGAGCAGAGGTTAGAAGTCAACACATGTTTAAGAATTATATGGTGTGTTAATTTAGGTGGCAACAGATTGTTAAGACTTTTTTTTGTGAATCAGGTTATATTGTGGATTATTAAAACATTGACTATATGAGCAGCGTGCATTTTACTTTTTTTTAGGAATTATGTCTTATTCATTTTAAATGGCTTCTCAGTTTTCTCTTTCTGCTATTGTGCTTAGTATATAAAAAATTAAATCATACTGTATTGAATAGCTTGAAGAGATATACCTCTTAGACTTACTTAAGCTTATGTCTTTGGATTTAAGCCAGAATTATGCATTGAATTTAATTTCTGAGAGAAAGCAGTATACATTAAAATCTAGACACATTTTAAATGTTAATATTTGACACATTCACAAAGCATTTCTGTATATTTTGTGTTGCACTAATAGTAACAGTAAACTTCCTCAAGTTTGTATTAGCCAGTTTTTATAAACCTGTTCCCCTCTATAAATGACAAACAAGTTCTGAAGCAAGCTAACCTACTTTCTTCAAATCATGGGATTTAGTTGATAAAAGATTTCCCTGCAGCAGTCATTTAGAAGTTTATTGTATATTATTCAATATTTACTTCTAAATTTTTAGTCTGAGATAATTAGATTGTATGTGAAGTTGCAAAGCTAATATAAACATATACTTTACAGCAGTTTCTGCAGTGATTATATCTAGCAACATAGTATAATACATCAAAAACAGGAATTTGGTAATTACTGTAGTATATATGTAGCTCCATGTTATTTTATCATGTGTGCAGATTCATGTTAATTGCTACAATCAGTATATAGAACTACAGTACCACAATGGTTTTCTTGATTTTGTCTCATATTCATCCAGCTACCATGTTCTTTTTCAGGCTACCACCCTAACCAATTCTTCTCAGTGCTATAGTTTTGTCACTGAGAATGTTCTATAGATGGGAGCATGTAAGAAATGATCTGAAGGTTTTTTTTTTTTGTTTCATTTTGCTTTTCACTCAGTGTAATACCCTGATGATATGTTCAAGTCATTGTATGTGTTTACTGCTTAGTGGTCTGGATGCACCATACCTTTGTATAGCTGTTTGCTTACTGAAGAATATTTTGATAGGTCTAATTTGGGAATTATTATTAATAAAATTTCTATAAATAGTTATATATGTTTTTGAAATATATATGAGTTTTTTTTCCTTTGGGAAAATACCTACAAGTTTGATCGGTGGGTCATATGTTAAGTATATATTTAACTTCAAAAACCAAGCTAAATAAATTATGTTAGGGTGATCATACTGTCTTACATTTTCACTAACAGTGAGAGAATGGAAGTAATTTTATTTGCATCCTGATGAACATTTGGTTTTGTTATTTTAATTTTAATTTTTTTAGCTTCTCTAATAGGGGTGTGTAGTTTTAATTTACATTGCACATACTGCACAGTGGCTTTTGTCTACACTGGAGCTTCTATTACAAATTGCCAAATACTAGGAAGCTTATAAGCAAGTTTATTGCTCTCAGTTCTGCTGGTTAGAAGTCTAAGATTAGAGGGCTCACATAGGTGTGTTCTGGTGAGGTTTATTTGTTCAACTTCAGTTTATAAATATTTAGGAAATGCAAATTCTGTGGGAGAAAGATTATAGTAATTTTGAAGGAGTGAAGATGTGTAATCTACAGATATTTTTAAGAATTGAAAATAAGGAACAGCCAATCTAATAGCATATATTACAGATTTCTTTAAATCTATGTGGTGAGCTAGCTCAGCAGATATAAACAGATGCCAGACACTGATGTAAGCCTGAGCCTTGAGTTTGGTACCCAGAAGCCATGTTATGGTGGAACTTGAGAACGAACTTGCCAAAGTTCTCCTCAGACCTTTGCTTGCATACCATGGCAAAAGTGCATGTACATGCATAATAAAAAATAAAAATTAAAAAAAATATAGTCACACAATATTTTTTTTTTAGTCGTACAGAATTTTAGCCAAAGCAAAACCAGTTTATTTGCAAAATGGGCTGTATCAGATTTGCTTTGTTTATGTAAGTGCAAGAAAAGTGATTTGCTATATAGGAATCTAAGATGAAGAAGCCTCTCGGGATTACATAGGCTAACCAAGCTAGACTTGTACTCAATCAATGAAGTACTGACCATGTTAGGAAGGGGCAGGTCCACTCACAGCACAAAAGGATAGACAGAAAACAAAAATGTTTATTTCCTAGGTCAGTTACTAAAAAGTAAAGAAAAATTTTTTTCTTTGTGGAAATAGAATTTTAAACCAGGATGTCAACCTAATAGAAAGGCCCTTTTATACATAGATACTAGAAGAGTATATGCCACAGATTATGCAAGTACTTAATATAGAATGCCAAGAAAATCTGTCTAAGCAAGGGAATACATTACTTAAAAATGGTAAAAGCAGGTAAGGTGTTTAATTTTATGAAGCAATTCATGTACATGAAGAAAAGTCAAGAATAAATAGTTATTCTAGGTCTTTAGAACAAGTATTTTAAACATCTGGGCCCTGTAGAAGAGTGAAAACTCGAGGAAATAATGTCCTTAGATCTTCTGATTAAAAAGTTAGAGTCACCAACCAGATGGAGTCTAAAGCAGGGAAAGCTCCAAAGATGTACCATTGACGACTAAAATCTCTTGTAAAGTTATACTAAAAACAAATATTTCAAGAAAATCTTAATGCTCTGAACATGGAGATAGATTCTTGAGGCAAGGCCCTTTTAAAGGTATCATTACCTACATCACACTACAAAGTCGGCAGAGCGTCTATCAAAAAGAACAGACTTGACTTGAGAGCAGGCAGAAATAAATTAAGCCAGGGAAACAGGGTGCAGAAGGCTCAATGTTGGTGCTATATATCATAGTCTAGAAGTTGTCAGTTGTCTTTAACGAAAAAGTTATTTCAGGTTCTACTAGATACCACATGTGTCAATCAGTGAGAGATTCCCTAAATATTGTTTACATGGAGTAAACGTAGTATTGCAACACGAAAATGCTTACCATGATCAGTTACACACTATTTCAAGCTAAGTGAAGTTTTTAAAAATAAAGTGGTTTAGTACGACATTTTGAAACAAGACATATATACATATACATATATATGTATATATATATATATATATACATATATATATATATTACCAAGAGTGGCATATAAAGAGGGATAATATACAGTGGTTGTGCAGCTACTCTTAGAAGTTTTTACTTATTTTCTTTTTTTATAAATTGGTCTGACAGTCATCTGGGAGTGGCTCTTGCTATCAGAAATATATAGACGTGGTACCTTCACGACTTCTCAGTTTTATTTAGGGCTTGACAGAAAAGATTCTACATTCATCCTGACAGCTTTCACTTGGGTTGGTACTCGTGTTGTCTTAGGTTCTCTTCTAGCTTTGTTTTACATTCATTTATTATTTTGATGAATAGAATGCAAATTTTCTAAGACAAAAGCCTCTCATTGAATCCTCAAAGCCATTGTGCAGGTTTTTATTTAATTCTGAAACAGCTGGATTTTAAACTTAGGGACTTGAAGAGGAAGTATCAATTCCTCCAGGTACACATAGGCAGTAGAATATATTTTTATATATACCCATGGCCTTCCTGAACACTGAGAATAGTAGATTTTTGGGAAGACAATACAAAGAATAACAGATATACTAAACCCCTAATGTTGAGTTTATTAATCTTGATGTAATCCTGAGCCAAATAATGTCTTTATTTTGTATGTATTATTTGTATCAGTGCTAAAGCCAAGTGACTGTTTTACTGAGAAGCATCTCTAGCATTTAGTCCTTTTCCCCCGTCTTCTCCACTTCTAATTTTTCCTCCTTCGATCTTGTAGTTTTGTTGTTATTGTTGCTATGGCTTCGTAGATACTCGGCAAGCACACTGCCACTATCCAATTGTCCCAACTCGTCTTTAATTTTCTGTTCTATTAAAACTAGTTTTTCATAGTTAATAATAAAGCTGGAACCACTCTTCTTAAGTTTTGAAGCTGTATATAATAAGACAAACTGCTGGAGGAAAAATTGTATCAAAGATACCTCTTTGTAAAGTTGGAGTAGCTTTGGCTTATATGCTTAATTTAACTTAAAAACATTTCTCGTTATGTGAAAATATGCAATGGGAGGAAAAATGGCTGGTTGGTTCTGTTAGGTCCCAGCATGCTTACTCTGTTAGGGCCACAGCCACCAATGTCTCTTTAGTGAATAGCACCACTGACTACTGATAGTAGTGCCAACTGGAAAAAAACTGGAATTTGTAGGTTGAGGACATGATAGCTAATAGACTGCTTTAGAAAAGTCATTTGTCTCAGATGGGAGGGCTTTGCTCGGCTGGCTGCCTATACTTGTAAATAAGAACGAACCAGAGGCTGTAAATGTGTGGGGCAGGCACTGAACTTGGCCTGCAGTGGGGGGAAAAAAAAAAAAAAATGTTTTGAATTGAATTAGTTCTATTTAAAAATTAAATTACAAAGTTGGACAGTATGGCAATAATATAGCCATAATCAGTTGGGCCTAAATAGTAGTACCATGTTTCAAATAACCTTTTATATATTCCACCGAGGGCTGTTTTACTTTCATTAATATCAGCATTTTTGTTTTTAAGTATTTGAGTTAGTCCACAATTTGAAAACTCGGATTTCTCTTCATAGATCCATGAAGTTTTACTTACATATCCTTTTTCTGACTCAGTTATGCTCTTTCTCAGCAAGGGTTTCCACAATTCTCCAATGTTCCTATTAGCACTGATATCCCATTGTGTCAAAGCTTACTACCCTGTTGTCCCAAAGGAGCAGCCATGTCCTCAGGAATCTGGTCCCAGGCAGTAAAATGTGGAAAAAATGTTTGATTTTAACAACCCAACGATACTTTCCATCTCCCCCATCTCTCTAATCTAAATGGAACTCAAATTTAAGACTACCTGTGCATGCTAGGTAAAACTGATGTCCAATTTGCAACTTTCTAAGAGTTTTTTTTTTTTTTTTTGAATTCTGCTTTTAGTATGCAGACAATAATGTGACATATGATTTGGCTCTTTATATATTCAGCATCAAAATGGACTGTCTTAAATTGTACTTTTCTCTACAATAACTTTTTCCTTCATA